CCCCCCGCCCCCCCAAACGTGGTCATCAGAATAGACCAGGTTTTGACAAATGCCTCAAAAGCAGTCAACCACTAAATTCCAAAATACAACTTGAGGGAGAATCAGCTTGAATCCTCCAGCTCTCTTCAGTGAAGCTGAAGCAAACTGGCTGTAACAGAAGTATTTTGCTAATTTAAATGTTTTCCTTTATTTCTGCAGTACTTAAGTACATCTTTGGCTAAAAGATGCATCAAATGAGCACTGCACTCATGTGTTATAACTTTCAGGTTTATCTTCATTAAGTTTCTTCTCATCTTTTTCTACATTTGCAGCATTGTCTGTGACAAGGCTACACATACGGTTTGTTATAAAACTTTTACTGCTACTTCTTAAATTTTCTTCAGTATGGACATTTCCTGATGCATCAATTGTTTCTGAGAGATAAACAATCCTGCCTTTTGTCACACAAGAATATATTTTTGGATCACTGTGTAAACTGCACCATCTATCAAAACTCAAATTAACTTTTCCCTTCAATTTTTTTTGTATACTGCTGAATTTCCTTGTCTCACTGTATCCAGAAGCATTTTAATGGTATCCATTCTGCTGCATGAAACGTAACCTGTCATAATGACTGAACCACATCACTGAAATGTTTGTGCTGAACAAGATAAAAGGGTGAGACTGTTGCATAAATGAACTGAGCAATATGTTCATCTATGCTGTCTTGCTGGACTTTGGTCCTGGTTATAAACTCATCCATAGTTTTACGTGATAATGAAGACACCTTATCCAAAAAGAGACTAGTTCACTGTCTGAGATGTTTAGTTGCAGTACGGTTGGTGTTACCATAGATGATTCTGAAGTTACAGACATTGCAAATGATCAATGTTCATAATGTCTTATGGTTAAGCTGGACCCTGAAATAAAATGGTTAAAAAAAAGTTATTCACACTGAGTATTCCTCAGCATTACTTAAAAAAATAAGATTATAAATGAAAGCTTCTTCCTACAGCTGATGGGGGTTTTTTTAAACCAGTGTTTAAGTGATATCATTTTTCCAAACCCTGTTCTATAGGGAAAATATTCAATAAATCATAAAGGTTATCTTCTTCTATCTAAATCCTTTCCTTTACCAATATGAAACAGCTTGAAAAAAATTATATTTTTTAAGATTTATAAATTCTTAAAACTTTATTCTGCACAGGATATGCTTACCTAGGGCTTTTATTTGCTCACACTGAGTAATAACATTCATTTCAGAAATACACGGGTAATTTTAAAAATGTAACTGGAAAATACTTCCATAAAGTAGTACACCTATTACACTTTTAAACATAAAAATATTCAAATTCCTAAGTAATCCACCCAAAATAACCAACACTGTCATAAATGTATCATTTACTAGCAATCGATAAGAATGGTTCAAAAATAGTCAGTTTACTAACCAGTTGATCCAGATGGCTCAGACATGTCCACATCACCATCTTCAAGTTCATTGCCTTCTGGGAAACATTTTTTATAACGTTGCTCCATTCAGGTACTGTTTTGCATCTCTTGCGCTGTTTACGTTTGGTATATGTTCCTCTTTTTCCCAGTGGGACAAGAATTTCTTGAAAATATTCCCAAACAGGGTCTTTTTTGTGAACTGAAGCCATACCAGTTTTTTCCTCCAGTTTCCAGGTGCTGAAATCAAAACTAGTCTATACTCCACCAAATGTTTTTCCTTACACTGTCTTGAGCCCAGCTTTGATTCATTCTGTAACACACACTGCTCTTAACTCTGTTCCCTTTCTGTCCTCCACACAAGAAATTCACATTAGTAGCCCCTTCTGAGGACATGAAGCCTGCCAAGTTTCAAGGAGACAGGGGCAGGCGTTTCTGTGAAAGTGCACCTCAAACTGCTGGAAAAAAGCCCTCATATGACTTGTGTGCATTAGAGGGTGTAGGTTGTAGCCATGTTGGTCTAAAGACATGGGCAGCCAAGGTTCTTTAGGTCAATCTGATATATTTTATTAGACCAACTGAATTGCTGGAGAAATACATCTTAGCAAGATTTCAGGTTTAAAAACCGTTCACCAGGCTGAAGAAGCATCTCTGGTTGGTGCGCGCTCTTCCTGGATGGAATGAATAGCAAAGAAACCAGTACATATGCAAGAAAGCCAGTCAGTGAAAATGTAAATCGAGGCATCAGGGGGCGAGATGTAGCAGGTAAAAGTGGAGAGGTACCCGGGGAGTCAGATGTCAGGCAGGTTACAGCGTGTCATAAATCCAATGTCTATACTGAATCTGATTCTTTTTCTATATCCAGTAGATTTATGAAGTGAAGTTTGTAGGCTTACCTACAAAAGGTGTTTTGTAACTGCAAACAAGCACTGAACCTTACTAATCTCATCACCGGAAGCAAACTTTCTACAGCCCAAAACACACTGAATAGATCCAGACCATGTCATGACAAGAAATGTAAAGCCTGCCAACACATCTCCAGGACCCCCACAATTACTATATCCCAGGAACAGTGATGGTTCTGCTGTGGATCTTACAGCTACACTTTCAGAAATGTTATACATCTCATCCAATGCACCAAATGCCCTGATGGAAAATGCATAGGAGACACCAAATAACTGCGCACCAGAATGAATGTACACCAGAAGTCTATTAAAGACAAGCATACCCAACTACCTGTGGGGGCACATTTCTCACAAGAAAGCCACTCTCTCTCCAATCTATCAGTCCTGATCCTCAAAGGTAATTTACAAAACACTTTTCACAGATGAACCTATGAACTTCACTTCATCAACTTCCTAGATACTAAAACTCATGGAATCAATACAGACATTGGATTTATGACACATTATAACCTGCCCAACATCTGACTCCCCACGTGGACGGAGGCGCTGGTGAATGGAGTCAGGGAGGCAAAAGGGCAGAGACAGGGGGACATGGAAAAGGGGGATCCACTTTCCCCTGCCTCTGCCCTTTTGCCTCCCTGCTTCTGTTCACCAGCACCTCTGTCCAGTGACTGAGGGTTTTGCTGCTGCAGATGCTCCCCTTCACCCTTGGGTCACACATCTGCCCGCACGTAGACCTTACTGGACCACAACAGATCCAGCCATTTTTTTTTGATGCCCTCCTTCCCACTTCACTACTGCCTGCACCTCTGGTGAAAGCAGCCTGCCCAAGCCAGGAACATTCATTCCCTGGAACTTCTCCATTTGATTCTCAAGCTCCTCCACTATGGGGATCACCTGGCTAAGGAAGGCATCGTCAGCACTGAGGCTACGCCAGGCTTGAGGACCACCAAAATTTGGGAGACAGTATCCCACTCAGTTTTGTTAATGGGGCTGCTGATCCCAATCTCCCTGAGCAAGGCCTTTCGAGCATCAGGTATGTGGAGTTCCACCGAATCTCCACATCCTGCATGATTTTGTGCTGTGAAATGCTTAGCTCTGCCTGTTTGTCCCACTACATCTTGCCCCTCCTTGATGCTCTGGTAGAAGTAGCCCACCACCTTCCTATATATTTTTAAATGAGCTGGCTGGTAGTGGTAGTGATGGTGCTATCATCAGCTCTGTCCCCCTCCAAGGCATCCCTGACTATGAGGTTGAACTTGTGTGCCACACAGCAGAGGCCAACAATGTTGGTATCACGCACCACCTTCACCATATTGCCCCATCATCGGTGACCATGAACCCACAGGTGAGTTTGTTCTACCCAACGAGCCACCCCTTCACCATGCGGTTCATGGCCACTATGATCTCCCTTGCCATGTGGAACTCATGCATCACCTCTGCTTGAAGGAGAGCCCACCAACGCTCTGACTGGTTGCACCAGTGCCCTGTGAGGGAGAGGTAGGCATGACCTTCACCCCAGCTGCTCCAGGTGTCTGAGGTGAAGTGTAATGCCATCTGCAGCCCTGCCTTGTGCAGCTCCTCCCTCAAGTACTCCCTGCATGCCTCATACAATGAGGACACCACCAGCCTGCTAAAGGTGGTGCATGCAGGCACTTGGTAAGATGGGGACATGAGCACCATGAGCTGCCTGAACCCTGGACACTCAAACGAGAAGGGCTGGTCATCCAGAGCAAGCATCTCCCCAGTGCTCTGGGTGACTTCGCTTGCCTTGGGAATGTGCCCTGCCCTTTGTCTCTGCCTTTCCCCTACTGGTCCAGGGTGGCTTGCTTCTGCTTCATGGGGACGGGGGCTTTGGAGCAAGAGGGGGACTTTTTTGGGCACATTCCCACTGGTGCTAGGCTTAGACGGAAGAAGGGCAAGGGTGTGCAAGGCTGTGCCTCCTGAGATACAGCAGCATCACTGTGGTAGTGAAATGTTTCACCTCCTTGCCCCGGCTGATCTGCTTTCAGCAGTGCTGGCAGGTAGCATACTTAGGATCATCTGCCACCTCGAAATGATTCCACACTATACTACCTACCCACTTCTGGGTTAAGGGTGGACATCCTGCCTTATCTCCTTCCTCAGCAGGCAGAGGCACAACAACAGGAGGAGCTAAGCCACACAGGTGACTGGTGCCTCGAGTTGGAGACATGCCCCCCCAACACCAGTCAGCAACTGGGGGGTAGGGGTCCTCCACAGCTGATCTCACTCACGGGGTGGGGGAGGGAGGAATTCTCCTCTGCGGCCAATCTCACTCACCAAAAAGTCCTGTGGTCACTTCTGGAAGTGGCACAGCTATTTTTGCTGGCAGCCCCACTCCCCAGCTAACACTCATTGGGGGGGACCCTGGAGCTCCTACCTACACCCCTGCCCATTGCCTAAACAGGGAACACAGCCTGACAGGGGGTACACCAGCACTCTCAGGGGATGCATGTGCACTTCCTACATGTCACCACTGCTGAGCAAGCTGCCCCTACAAGGCGGCAGTCCAGAGAAAGTAACCTGCCTCTAGGGGAACTTTGAGGGGTGTGAAGGACAAACTCAGATTCCCCCTTCTTCCCCAGAATTTCCTTAGCTATGGCATTCAGCTCCTCTGCTTCCAGATGCAGCTCCTCCTCTGGCACTGAAAGGCTCATGGTGGGAACAGAAATTGGGGTAGAGGCTGTTATGCTGGTGTTGGTGGTTATTAATGGTGTTAGTGGAGCTGATGCAGGTGCAGACACTGCTCCCACCAGCAGCAAAAGACTCATCGCTGCCAGAAAAGTGGGAGCATCTATGTTGGGGGGGACAGGGAACTGAAGCTTCTCTCCCCTCTCCCTGCCCTGCTAGAAGACTCCTGCCTTTCCAGCACACTTCATGCTTGGCGTGCTGTAAAATGTGTGTGTATATGTTGTGTTTTCCTGAGCAGTGATGAGATGGTGAAAACACAGATTGTGTGTGGCAGGAAAAAAAAAGACAGACTAACAAGAACAAATAAGATGAGTTTGGGGGAAGAATAAGCTGAAAGGGATAACAACAGGGATGGCAGGCAAAGGTAAGGAGGAAAGGATTCTATACAACTTGTTGGCAAGAGACTAGCTAGTGCTACCAAGCCAGAACCTTTCAGATGCTGCTACAAGACAGACAGACAGCTCACAAAAGGTACCGAAACAGATCACTTCACACACAGCCTTATATGTTGTTTCTACATCCCTCCCCAACAGCACTGTTATTGGAAGGGAACTCAGGGAAAGTTCAGTCACTGGCCAGCTACAGATGGCAATATCAGAGCAGTCTCCCCCCTTGCCTCTTTTCATAGTTGGTAGGGTCGGAAGGGACCTGAGCAGATCAAGTCCGAACCCCTGCCATGGGCAGGAAAGAATGCTGGGGTCAAACGACCCCAGCAAGGTGTCTATCTAGCCTCCTTTTCAAGACCCCAGGGTAGCAGCAAGCACGACTTCCCTTGGAAGTTGGTTCTAGATCCTAGCTGCCCTGACTGTGAAGTATTGCCTCCTGATATCTAGCTTGAATCTACTCTGAGTCAACTTATGGTTGTTGTTCCTTGTTATTCCTAGTAGTGCTCAGGGGAGCAGGGACTCTCCCAATGCCTGCTGGTCTCCTTTGACCAGTTTATAGATGGCCACCAGATCCCCTCTCAGCCTTCTCTTGTGGAGGGTGAACAAGTTAAGGTCTCGTAGCCTCTTCTCATAGGGCCTGCCCTGCTGCCCCCTGATCATGCGAGTGGCCCTCCTCTGGACCCTCTCAATTCTGTCCACATCCTTCCTGAAGTGCAGCACCCAGAACTGCACACACTACTCCAACTGCAGCCTGACCAACATCATATAGAGGAGGAGGATCACCTCCTTGGATCTGCTCATGATGCATCTGTGGATGCATGACAAGGTACGGTTAGCCTTCCTGACTGCACCCCCATGTTGGCAGCCCATGTTCATCTTGGAGTCTATAATGACTCCAAGATCCTTTTCTGCCTCTGTACTGACGAGAAGAGAGTTCCCCAGCCTGTAGCTATGCTGCTGGTTCTTTCTCCCTAGCTGCAGTACCTGGCACTTGTCCGTATTGAAACCCGTCTTATTCTTATCCAATTGAAGCCTGTCCCTCTTTTCTAGCGTGCTCACTTCTCCTCACATCTTAGTGTCATCTGCAAATTTGAACAAGGTGCTTTTCAC